GGGGGGGAGGGGGGGGGAAGTTAGACTTTTCAAAAATCCGCGCCGTGGGTACAATTAGACTAAAAACAAAACTACTACTAGGATAGCATACAAACCAATCACCTAAAACACGCCGCGCCCAAGGGCCGGCGGATTTCAAAGACTAGTGGTATTTTCCATTGCGGTGTTTGGCGATGGTATTTTCTGCGATTCCTTACCACTCCAAGACCGCATGTTAAGTTTCCCTAAAAATCTAGGAACCAAATCATTAGTGCGAGAGGGCGGCGGGGGGAGCTTCCTTGAAGAAGCGTGAGCTATCCTGCGTCCAGTTAGTGGTAGCTGAAGTAAGCGTAGCTACCTAGCTACCTCTCTAGCGGCCTACCCCCCGGGCTTGTTACTACTAGCAAACATTGTTACTACTAGTAAGGTACCTGCTACTACTAGTAAGGCACTTGTTTCTAATAGCTTCTTGTTACTACTAGTAAGGCACTTGTTACTAGTAGCGATGCACTTGTTACTACTTGCTTTAAAACACAGTTTTTTTACAATTGAGGCACACTTAGCGTGCCGGATGTGATGACAGACTTGGGAGCAGAGGAGGTTAATTTTTTGGGCGGCAAGGCGAGGGAAAAGTCCGTTCGAAGACATACGAGGTGAATTGGTTTCGTGCATTTGGTGGCAGTAAAACGCAAGGAATTGAATTGACTGAAAGCACAAGTCTTGTCAATGTGAAAGCACCAAGTTTGATCCCGATGTTTGTTTGCAGGCGCACAAGAATATGCTGCAGAGCGCCTGCAATGTTTTGCGCACCATCTATCCACTCCTGGAGAGCTTATCGGGGCAGGTGGATCGAATTACATTCACAGGTCACAGCTTGGGCGGGGGTGTCGCTGCGTACCTCACAATGCTCTTTCTTGAACTGACCTCTGATGCTGAAGCCCCACCCGAAGTGCAATGCTTTACCTTTGGCTCGCCTGGCATATGTTCTGCAGCTGTGAGCAAATCGCTCAGAACACACGTAGTATCTTACTGCCACGCGCAGGATGTTGTACCTCGACTTTCGACGGGTCACTTGCTAGAGCTTCATGGACGTGCAGTTCTGGCTGCAGCTGTCACTGGAGATACAGTGAAGCGATCAATAACTGATGGAGGAATTTGGAGGGCAGCACAAGCAATTCCACAAAATTTGGAGGAAGCGCTTGCAAGCAGCAAGATCGAGGCGCTTGAAATGGAGATTTCTGGTGATTCGCCAGAGATGCTGAAGCTCTACCCAGCAGGGAGGTGTTTTTTAGTGCAGAGCAATGGCGAGGTTGAGGAGCTTGCGCCTGAAGAGTTGGCACCTTGCATAGATTTGTCTGGGGGCCGCCGAATGGTGGTTGACCATTTGCCTAGAATCTATGAAGTTGTCATGAAGGCTGCAGCTGAAAGAGCACGGCACGAAGACAGAGAATGTGGAGTCCGGACAGAATGCCCTTCTCGTCTCTAAAATGGTGCTGGGTGATAGCTAAGGGGACCATTTCACCGAAAGAGATGTACGCTTGTACACACCAACGAATTCTCTTGCAAAGATAATGCATGACTCAAGTTGTCCATCATGCTGGTAGTCTTAGGCTTGGACCTTTTCTACATGGGCTTCTGGCTGAGGGGCACTTTGAAGTCACTTGCTTACTGTATCTGAAATAGCACCAGAAGACCTTTTGCCGCATTTAGCTCATGCCTGTGGTTGCCGCTTGCTTTTTTCTTCTTAGTTGTGTGAGGCTCTTGACACTTGGGGGCTTTGGACTGTGGTGAGTGTCTGAGAGATTCTTCGGGTGCTGAGATCATTGTAGCTGTTGAGCTGCTGACTGAAGTGGCGTTTGACGTTTTGTTCTACATCATGGTGACCTGCGTTACTTTTTAAACAGTTGGCAGCGTGTGTTGTGGTCAGGTGGGCATTTGACATTGTGCGTGTGGGGGCTGCACCCACATACGCGAAGCAGTTCAAGCTGAACAATGCTTGTCTCCTAGCCACCCTGATGCCTTGAAACTCCATTTGCTTAGGCAGACAATGTTGGTTTATATAGCTATGCTTGTTTAGCTTCAAGTGATGTGAATATTGAGGACCTGCCTCATTGGGTTTTCATGCTTATCAACGTCCTTCTTTTCGGCGGCGGTGGTTTGGCATATTCCATGTCCTCGTGCTCTGGGAGATGCCAAAGTCTTGTCAACGAGTTTTTACTTTTTAAAGGGGTAGGCCGCTAGAGGTGAGGTAGGGAGAGGTAGCTAGGTAGCTAGAGGTAGCTATATAGTAGTAGCTAGAAGTAGCTACTAAGTACTGGACGCAGGATAGCTCACGCTTCCTTGAACTCCTTGAAGAATGATTTGGTTTCTAGATTTTTAGGGAAACTGAGCTGTATGCGAGGTACGCCAGGTTCAATAAGATGAAAATGCGGGAGGGAGAAAAGCCGCTCGGCTGATTGGTCATTGGGTGTTGTGGCCTTTGCAACGTTTTGATGTCACTATGATCCTGTTCGTGAAGCTTGCAAGGACGCACGGCAGTGGGGCTGCCCAGTTCGGTTTTGTTTGAGCATATCTGACTTTGCTATATAGGGGTGGTATTGACCGCGATGAGCTACTTTATGGGCAGTGACTTCAGGTGATGAAATCATCATGGACCGCTCAGAGGGAGGACAGGGTATCAGGCGTGCTTTATTTGGTGTTTTGCAAATTGACTTGCTCCAGCAATAATTGCAGGTCAAGAGGGAACTTCAGCAAGGTCCCTCAGAAAAGGAATGCAGGTTGGGGCAGCTTTCACGGATTTTCAAACCAAATATGTAGATGCAACACCATGCCGACATGCTCATTCATTTGCTTGGCAGTGCGGTTGGTCTAAGGCTACACTGGCTATGGAGCGACCCGTCCTGAAGAGCCGAAACTCTGTAACGCACCCGGAATCTGAGTGTATGGCTCAGTGTATGGTGAAGTAGTCTGAGTGGTGTTGAGCCACCTCGGAATCTTAGTCGTTCCAGGAAAGAGACATGCAATTGCAACCTGCACATAAGCAGTTGGAGAGCTTCAACTGTATTCGTATTTGATAGCTGATGTCTCTTGAGAATCAACAGCGCCCAGTTGCTGAAAAAAAGTCCCTTGTCCTACGCGGATCTCCACGCAGAATCTGGCACCAGTTGCTCAGAGGTCCGAGTAAATCCCACTTGGCAGGACGTAAAGGGGTTAAAAGGTGACCTCAAAGGCAAAGGAAAAGATAAGGGAGGAAAGGCGAGAGCAGCGAGCTGTTACTTTGTTCTGCGGATGCAAGGTGACAGCATAGAAACTCTTGTGTGGCAGGTCGGAAAGGGAGATGGTGGGAAGGCACACCGACTTCGTCAGGTGCAAGCAAGGAACATTGTTGGTTTTGTTGTTCAGGCGAAGGGCGACAAGGGAAAGTGCCAGTCCCAGAAGTTAGCAATTGGACAACAGCGTTGTCAGGTGTATACCTACTCTTCTCTTGCCAACTTGCATACATTGACAGGGGCAAAGGCGGCGGCAAAGGCGGCCGGCGTGGCTCGACTGCAAAACCTGGAAACTTTCGAATCTATGTATATATATATATATATATGTGTTATTTAAACATTCTTGTCTACAGAACATCGAGACAGGTAGCCTCACTCTGCATTTCCAGGTGATGGAGCTGCCATCGGAGAGCTATTGCCTGAGACCAACGAAGAGGCAACCAAGTGGCATAAAATCATTAAAGGAAAGCATTCTCGCTTAAAGTGCAAGGGGCAAGTCATTCCACATCTTTGATGGTAAGTAGAAGCAAGGGGGAGCAAAGTTGATGGCTATCACAGAGACTCTTGCATTTGTGGCAATATGCACAGGTCAAGAAAGAGTATGAAAAAGAATTTGATGTAACTGCTGCCAACTCCAAGTCAGAGACTTAGCCTCTAGCACTTCTTTGCATGATTCATTCATTGTGTCATATTGTGTTTGTTCCAGGGAATCTGTTTGCCCACCCTGAGGTTTGACAAGTCTGCTGTAGCTCAGGAAGGTGAGGAAGGCGTGTGCTTTGAGGGTTTGGCGGATGATTGGGTGCAGCAATCTCAAAAGATTTGCAGGTGATTCACTGAAACCTCTGCCTGGCTATGACAAGACCAAGTCCTTTTTTCGACAGCATCTCCTGTGAGGCACTTTTCAAACCTTAAGACCTATCAGGTACTAACTGACTTCTTTTCCTTACTTGTTTTCTCAAACTCTCTCCGTGTAGCTATAGAATCAATATAGAGATATAACAATTCGTTAGCAAAATTTCTGTCTTTTTGCATCAATTTTTGAGCTATCCCTCGACAATGTTGCAAGGCCACTGAGCGCTCTGGAGCTGCTGACAGGCCGAAGGCTTGCACCTGAGCCTAGTGGTACCCATGTATCCTCACACATCAGTTTTCCAGACACAGATGATGCAAACAAGTTACAGCACGGTGTCTTGTTCTAGTATTCCGATGCTGCAACAGAACTGCCGACCTGTGTGGCTGCAGCGCTTGAGCTTATGGATAAGCAGATATACACTAGAACTCAGAACAATGGAATGCACCAGACAAAATACAATGGCTTGCAATGACTCGGGTGAAGATTGTGACTTGCCCTCACTTGCTTCCTAAGCCAAAGAAAGTCAAAATACATTGGTGAGAAAAACAGGCAGGATAAATTTCATGAAGGGAAGAGCATTTGTTCGGACACGCTCAAATAGATCAACACACGATGCTTCTACTCTCCCTAACTGCCACTCCAATCTCAAAGCTGCGTTTGTCAGAGATTCTTTCAGCTCACTTGTCGTCGATGGCAGAGGGCTACACTGAGGAGGCAAGTTTAGGCGGAACAGGTTTTGTTTGTGGCTTCTCACGTGAGCTGAGCTTGGAGGCGGCACCCGACCCCCGCCCAGAGAATGCAGGAGAGCTGAAAATCCAACAGCCTGTAAGCTGAAGACATCGTGTTTCAATTTCCTTTCATGGAAAGGCGAAGAACCCGAAGAACAATTAAGCACTGATAGGCAGGGTTGTGTAAGGAGCTGTTGGACAGTTGGATGAACGATGAACGCTATGTTTCACTGTCTGAGATTGAGGCCAAATCAGGTCAACTATGATACGCCACGTGAGACCTTGATGATAGCCTGGACTCCGAGAGCCTTTGCTTCCCACAGATCGCAGGGTTGCTGGGCCTTGTTAGGACCTTTGTGGTCATGCTGAGGTTATGCAGAGGGATGGTAACCAGCTTGGCTTTACAGCCCCTGCAATGCGTGCAGACGAGGAGGTGCCTGCTCCTCTTCGAAAGCAATTTCTCTGCCCAGCCTGCTATTTGAATCGTTTATTGAGTCGGGCTGTGAGTGGATTGGTGTTTGCCGTCAGGGCTGACTGACCGAACCAAACAGAGCACTGTAGCAAAGGAATTTACTTTGCAGATGGGAGAGTCTTAGAGACTCTCTTGAATCAAATGAGATACTGAACACTCGAGCCACTTTGTACCTGTCCTTAGCTAACCTGACTCACCAGTTCACTTCTTGTGGCGCCATGGAAGACAATGTGCAGACATTCATTGACTTCACGGGTGCCTCTGCAGATCAGGCTCGCTGTGCATAGAGCAGCTGTAATGAGATCGGTACAGATCAGAGTTGTGTGGGAGGCTGCCATATTCCTGGAAATGACCGGAGGCAATGTTGAAACTGCAGTGGAGATCTTCTTGTCAAGCCAAGGAGGCAAGCAATTTGCGGCATGACAAGCTCGATTACCTCCAACCTAAATAGCGATGGCCTCCAACCTCCGGTCCTAGCGATGGCCTCCAACCTAATTAATAGCGACGGCCTCCCTAAAGTTCACATATTGCACTACCGTTACCTGATTTTGTTTTGCTGTGAACTTATTATGGTCCTTATACTTTCTTCAGGTGATGGTGATGTGCCTATGACTCCAGTGGTAGACGAGGTCCCTGGGCCGACAAAGCTTAGATGGAGCACGTATTTATGTGTATTTCGCTGGTTCGTAGCAGCATTTGCAGAAGGCTTTAGCTCCACCTTCAGTGCCTGTGCCTTTGCTTCCCTCTTGGTGGATGACCATTTGGCCAGCACCCCAAGAGCCGCCTGAAGCTTGGCGGCTGCAGCGCTTGGATAGCAGTGGAGGTTCCTGGGTGCAAATGCCATGAACAAGCCACGAGCATGGAACAGAATGAGAATCTTTTTGTAGGATTCCATTCAGTGGGCTTGCATGCTATATTTGACTATATAATATGCATGTATATATTACGAAAGCCAGCCGATAGGCTAGGCTTGAGCTTTTAGAGTGAACGAAGTGAGTTAAGGGGGGGGGGGGAGGTCGCGGAAAGGCACAATTTGAGGGCGAACCCGGAGCTTGGTGGGGGAGAGCGCTCCAAAGCGAGGGTCAAAAAAGCAGTGAACATGGGGTCTGGTGATGCGAGTGATGCAATGGACGCCAAGTAGTGCATCATTAGCATCATGAAGGGCTTCGGAGGCTATTTGGACAATGGGCACTGAGCAATCGAGTGGAGACAGGGACCCAAGTACAGCATGTAGGACTTGAGTTCCCCAGGACAACCCGTAACTCGCGAAGTCCATAAAGAACCGAAAGTGACATGAGTTCAACTCCGTGAATTTGGATTGAGTTTCGGTGGGTATGCCTGCGAGGTTGACTACATATCTGCATAGGGTTCCTGCCCCTTAGCAAAAACTATACTTGCACCATGTCCTCAGTCGAGTGGATGCTTCTTGCGGCGTCCACACGCACCGAACATTTTTTTCCGGCTTGCCGGTACAGATAGATAATAGATAGATAGATAGACAGACAGATAGATAGATAGATACTGAGTGAGAAAAGCGCAGAGTTGATAAGAAAGAGAAAATTAAGAATGTGTTTGGATCGTTTAATAAAGGCCCCTTTAAAGGAAAAAGACTGTGTTTTGGATCGAGCCAGGACATGACTCACTCAAGTCCAGGCATGTGCATCGATAGGCGCACAAATCCTCACTCGTTTGCTAGCCTAAGCTACTCCTGCGCGACCTCCCCTTCTGCGCCGCGGGATCAAACGTCCGTGTCCCGGCCAAGACGTGCCCCTTCACTCTTCCAAATCAACGAATGCCGCTTTTTTCGACGTGCCGCAGTATGCATTGCAAACTTCAAACACTTCAAATGTAACAAACACATACTTGCGCGCGCGCACGCGGGCGCGCGGCGACGCTGACTATGCAGAAGGTCTTCCTGCGCGCGCGCGGGCGCGCACGTGGTATCCCACCACTCGAACTTAGATGATACTTCCCCTTCGCTAACGCTGATGTTGCCTTCCAACTTGTATAAGACGCATACCTTTCTGCGCGTGACAAACACATGCCATTGCCTTGTGATGATGACTTACACCAACATACAATGTATCGCACTTCTCTTTCACTACTTCTTTTTGCATACTAAACTTATCCCAAAGCCGCCCGGCTTGCTTCTGTGCTCCCTCCATCACCATTACATACGCCCCCCTACATCCGCAGCACCGCTGACTCGCAAGCTGCCAACCATGTCACGAAAGGTAGCTTGAGCTACCTGAGTTCTCCTTGCTTTAGCAAAAATGTATTACAATCAGGAGTTGGGATTGTGCATTGAGTTTGGTCCTGTAAGAGTTGATTCTGTTCGTCGGGGGGGGCCCCCCCCCCCTGGATCAAATCCCCCCTGCGCCGGTTCACGCCGTCATGGACTTCTACCAGGGTTACTTGTGATTGCCTGCTACCTTTCGTTCACCCCCTCCTCTCTCAAGTGTCTTGTGCCGCGATGCCCGCCAGAAAAAGAGTCACTCGTCTGGAGGCTGCTGGCTTTCGTACCCCCCTTCTCAGGTGCATACATACATACATACATACAGGTTTTAGATATCTATTTACACTACACTACACTTGATATCCCGTATTAAAAGAAAGACAGTCCCAGAGCGCCTAGCATGATGTTGTTTGCTGCAGGTTGGGCGGGTGGCATACCACAGCCAAAGAACGGCCCCTGTGGAGTCATTGCTGTTGTTCATGCCTACGTCCTGGCCAAACAATATAGCCGCCCAACCGACCAGATCAAGGCCTCGTAGAAAGGGCCAAATGTTTTTGAAACTGTGCGAAGACGTGCTTTTGGGACACTGACGCTCAACTTTGAAAGGTTTGCGCGGATGATGTGGCTGCAGTGATAGGAGACATCCTTTTGCGATGTCGCCAAGATGATGAATCGCCCGTAAAACTTTGCAGACCAGCTTCGAAAGGTCTGGGGCTGTACATTGCAGAACGCACAGTGAATAGAAGACAAGAGTAAAGCAATAGTTACTTGGCAGCGCAAAGAAAACCAATTGTATGGCCAGGCACGTATGGCCCTGAAGCTGACCTTGACATTGTGGAAGTTGCAGGAGAAGAGGCCGTGAGACGGGAGGTGCGAGCTCAGCAATGATGTGTTTGTTCATTTGCCGATGGTCTAAGTTTGCTTGGACTAAGGTGCTTCAGCGTGTGGCAGATTTCCAAGGGCCGGGAGGAATCATTGATCTGGTCTACTCGGCAACCTTTACCCGAGGCCCAAGTCATTTGCATGGCCACTGCCGCGAAAGTTCCTTTGTCCTGTGCCCTGTATGCCGTTCAGTGGAGGCATTGAGAAAATAAAGGAAGAGGCACTTCTTGAGGGAGAGTTGCCTCTGGTACCGAAGCTTCTTTGCTACATTGAAGCCCCAAACCTCAACTTTGAGTTGTGCAACACTTGCTGGTCCTTGGACTGTTTTGAGGGTGGACTTTGTGTGAACCCTCAAGTCGCCTGTTGACTTAGTGCAGATTGGAAAGCTGAGGAACTTTGATTGTTGGCTTTGCAGCACTGAGCTAATGTCCTTGTTGCTGCGGGGCAACGCCATGGGAAATGTGGGTGCCCATGCGGCTGATGGAGGTGCTTTCCTTTGACACCAATGCATTTGTGCTTGAAGCTGCATCAATATCATTTGTTTGGTACTGTGTATGAAGCTGAATGCCCCTGTTTTTGAGCCTTTGCATCGTTTTTGCCCACCCTGACTGAAGACTTGACAGTACTGTTTGGGTGCACCATCACCTCCATCGCAGATGACCAGGTGCTTATCATTCAGATTTGTGGATCAAGGTCACACACCCCGAAACCATGGTTCAGTGGCTTAGCGCAGGTTTCTGCGCTAAAGCTCCACATAAGACTGCCAGCTTTATCTTGTCTGCAGCGAGCCTGGAGCAGTAAACGCTGCGCCCTCTGTAATTAATTACACATGTATGGAAGCCCAAACATATTCCGATTCTATGTCATGCCAGCAAGCTGGCAACAATATGGCAGGCAAGGCAGCTCTAGGTCTCTAGGCGTACAAAACCAAGAGTTCCCCCGACTTAACATTCTCTGCACAAAGCCTGTCTCTGTGGCCGCACTATCAGCTCAACATAGCCACATGGATATGTTGCTGCACCCCAAACAGACGCAGGTACTTGACAGGCACAGCAGGAGTATACCTTTTCTTGATGACTGATGCCACGCCAAGGACTGCGCAAACGCTGCTGCATTGACATGCAACATCGAACACCCTCACCCATGCGCGATATTGTAACGATCAACCATCAGCCTTGTACCCCTCAGATCTTGAACTGCTCTAGCCAATTCCCCAATTGCCAAAAGTGGAGTTCCATAAACGTGCTGCATACGGATGGTCGGTAAAATTTAAAATGCATGGGACAAAATACCCGATTCTTGCCTTCAATCCTCAACGTTTGCATTTTACTTTTGTTGCCGCTTGTGGCTAGGCCAAGCCTACTCGCAGGCTGCAGGCACATGATAAGATCCTTGACCCTTTTCCAGATTAGGTGCCCTACAGATATTGTTAGATATATTGCTAGATGCTTCGTGGTTTGTTTTCTTGTGGCTTTCAATTTAGACGTTTAGTACATTCAGTTGTTCGATCCTATCGCATTGTTGCGTCCCTTTGAGTGCGTTCTTCGTGTCGCTTCTGATTTGTTCCTGCATTTTCGGCAGTTTGTGGCTGCCCCTCTTTCTTGTTTCAGCCAATCTTATGATGTATATATATATATATACTGTACCATCCCCTTCGTGTACCTGGGCAACCAAGGGGCACTTAAATTAAGGGCGCATGGGTTGAAAGTCCGGAAGCGAGGAATACCCCTCAACCATGGTTTGTTGACAGTTGAGACCCATTCTGTTAATTTTGGGATCAACCAGTGTTCCGAGCTATGGCAGTCAAGCTTCCGCTTCAAAGTGATCCAGCCTATGTTATTCA